CTCCGGGGCCCCCCCACGAAGGTGGACACCACAGAGCTGCCACTAATGACAGCAAGTTGCCAGGGCTGTTATGGGGGGCACAGGTAGAGGGGTCAGAGCCTGCATGAGGATCGCAGGCGGGGGACCAAGGGGCGCGGGCAGAGGAGCAAAGGCCAGGATGGGGCAGGGCCAGGAGACTGTGAGAGTCCAGAAGACATATCCAGTTCAGGTGGTGGGTGTCAGGGAGGGCTTCCTGGAGGAGAGGGTGTCTGAAGGATGAGTGAGAAAGAGCAAAGCCAAGGAGGCGAGGAGGGGGCTGGGATGGAAGGGAGACTGCAGGATGGTATGGTTTATTGCAGTGATCATCCATGTAGCTGTGTGTGCACTGCATGCCCTGTAGCGTAGACCCAGAGGTTGAAGGTGTCTACACATGTGTGGCGTCTGCTCTGCCACGGCCTCACCCTGTCCAAGCCTGAGTGGGGACCTTGTGGCTGGCCAGTGGTAGAGCCTCTGCCTGGGGTTTCCCACAGATCAGCACTGCAGGGAGGGCCGGGCTGGGTTTTCTTTGCCTGGACATGAGTTAAGGCACTGCATGGCCTTCAGGTCGTCTGACGCCATCATCCCCAGGATAAGGTGACCCCGGGTCCAGGACTCGAACCATTGTAGCCTGGTGGGAGTCTGGTGACATAACTGCTATGCCATCTGCTGGTCCCCACATAATTTTTTTTTTAAAGCCAGCACAGGGACCAGCAGTTAGAGTAATGGCTATGTCACTGGACTCTCATGTAGCCAACCACGGTTCGAGTCCCGGACTCGGTGGCTTAAACTCACACTGGGTGCATGTGTGTGCGTACCGAAGATCCCGAGAGGAGAATGGAGGAGAAGGGAGTGCAGTGTGGCCATCCCCCTTGGGGGGTGATTTCTCGCTTTCTATCTCTCTCTGTCTCTCTTGCGAGTGCACGTACCCTATAGCAAAAATACCTCTCCAAAAAAAAAGCCAACACATATCCCTGTGAAGGCAGAGGCGGGCCAGGGCAGGGGTGGAAGCAGGCACCTCGGATACCAGGGAGCTCAGGCCCGGTTTCCAGGCACTGGAGTGCAGGTGGGTGTGTCTGAGTACGACTCTGAGTGTGTATATTGCTTGTCTCTGTGTGTGTGTCTGTGTGTGACTCTGGGTATATGAGTGCGTGTCTGTGTATGTGTGTCAGTTTGCATGGGACTGAGTGTGTGTGTGCATGTCTCTGTGTGTGTCTGTGTGTGACTGAGCATGCCTATGGCTGTCTTGGTTCAGCTCCTCACTTCACTCGCAGCAGGTGTCACCTCCTCTGGGAGGCCTTCCCTGACCTCCCTGTCTACACTGGCACTAATCCTGCCGTTCTTCGGCTGGTGTGGTGGACTGTGTCTCTGCACAGCGACAGGGTGGACGGGAGCCTGGAGGGAGGTCACGCGTGTAACATGCTCAGCACAGGCCTGGGACATGGAGTCCTCAGTTCTTTGTGACAGTGTCACCACTGGCCATAGTGGCGTGCGTGGCGTGGGTCACATTTTCGGTGTCGTGGGTGTGGAGCGTGCCGTCCGGTGCGTCCTCGTGTGTGTGGGCATCCCTGTGACCCTTCACAGACCTGTTCACCGAGCCGCCGTGCTGGGAGTTGGGAGTGCAGCCCAGAAAGGCAGCTTCGGGCTGCCCTCCTGGAGCCCCCACTGCAGTGGACACCACAGAGCTGCCACTAATGACAGCAAGTTGCCAGGGCTGTTATGGGGGGCACAGGTAGAGGGGTCAGAGCCGGCATGAGGATCGCAGGCGGGGGACCAAGGGGCGCGGGCAGAGGAGCAAAGGCCAGGATGGGGCAGGGCCAGGAGACTGTGAGAGTCCAGAAGACATATCCAGTTCAGGTGGTGGGTGTCAGGGAGGGCTTCCTGGAGGAGAGGGTGTCTGAAGGATGAGTGAGAAAGAGCAAAGCCAAGGAGGCGAGGAGGGGGCTGGGATGGAAGGGAGACTGCAGGATGGTATGGTTTATTGCAGTGATCATCCATGTAGCTGTGTGTGCACTGCATGCTCTGTAGCGTAGACCCAGAGGTTGAAGGTGTCTACACATGTGTGGCGTCTGCTCTGCCACGGCCTCACCCTGTCCAAGCCTGAGTGGGGACCTTGTGGCTGGCCAGTGGTAGAGCCTCTGCCTGGGGTTTCCCACAGATCAGCACTGCAGGGAGGGCCGGGCTGGGTTTTCTTTGCCTGGACATGAGTTAAGGCACTGCATGGCCTTCAGGTCGTCTGACGCCATCATCCCCAGGATAAGGTGACCCCGGGTCCAGGACTCGAACCATTGTAGCCTGGTGGGAGTCTGGTGACATAACTGCTATGCCATCTGCTGGTCCCCACATAATTTTTTTTTTAAAGCCAGCACAGGGACCAGCAGTTAGAGTAATGGCTATGTCGCTGGACTCTCATGTAGCCAACCACGGTTCGAGTCCCGGACTCGGTGGCTTAAACTCACACTGGGTGCATGTGTGTGCGTACCGAAGATCCCGAGAGGAGAATGGAGGAGAAGGGAGTGCAGTGTGGCCATCCCCCTTGGGGGGTGATTTCTCGCTTTCTATCTCTCTCTGTCTCTCTTGCGAGTGCACGTACCCTATAGCAAAAATACCTCTCCAAAAAAAAAGCCAACACATATCCCTGTGAAGGCAGAGGCGGGCCAGGGCAGGGGTGGAAGCAGGCACCTCGGATACCAGGGAGCTCAGGCCCGGTTTCCAGGCACTGGAGTGCAGGTGGGTGTGTCTGAGTACGACTCTGAGTGTGTATATTGCTTGTCTCTGTGTGTGTGTCTGTGTGTGACTCTGGGTATATGAGTGCGTGTCTGTGTATGTGTGTCAGTTTGCATGGGACTGAGTGTGTGTGTGCATGTCTCTGTGTGTGTCTGTGTGTGACTGAGCATGCCTATGGCTGCATGACTGTGTATGTGTGTGTGCGTGCACATGTGTGGGTGTGTCTGGTTGTGTATGACAGGGTGTGTGTGTACCTGTCTGTCTGCGTGTGTCTGTGTGTGAATCTAGGTATATGAGCGTGTGTCTGTGTACGTGTATCAGTTTGTGTGGGATTCTGTGCACATGCGTGTGTGTGTGAATCTGTGTGTGACTGAGTGTGTCTGTGCTGTGTGACTCAGTTTCTATATCTGTGTGTGTGCATGCGTGACTCGGTGTGTTTACATGCCTGTGAGCCTACGAGCGCCTCTAGGTGTGTGAGTGTGTTATCTGGGTGTGTCTCGCTGGCTGTGAGAGTGTGTGTGAGCACACATGTGTGCACGCGCCTGCATGTCTGCCCGTAGCATTGTGTCCGAGAACGTGTGCACCTCCTGTCTGGGGCTGGTGACACCTGTGCCTTGCGTGTGCTGGCCTGGCTGCGCTATGGCTGTGTGGCGGGTCTCGCCTGCCGTCAGCACAGCTGTAGGCCCCTCTCTTGTTGTGTCTGCTGCCCGGATCTCCATCCCTCCCTCCTGACATCTCAGAAGTGTTCGCTCCCTTGAGGCCACCCCAGGACAGCTGTGAGGTCGGGGGCGTGAGGCGCTGGTCCTGGGGAGGCGGGGACGGGGCCAGCTGGGCCCTCGGGTTCCCGGCAGCACCAACCCTGCCCACAAGGGCTCCCGGGCTGTAGCCTTGGTTGAGGTGGGCTGCAGAGGCTGCGGACCCAGGGGACAAGCCAAGCGGGGCTGGGAGGGTGAGGGGCAGCCCTTGGGCCCTCTATATTTAGCCTCATTTTCGGTAAGTGCTAACGAGAAGCTGGCCTAAGTCTGCCAAAAACCGGCTGGGGGAAATGCAGAGGAGAAGTGAAAGTCCGAGGAGGGAGGGGAGAGGTGGGCGAGGGGACCCAGAGTCCCAGGCCTGGGGCAGTCGGGCAAGTGAGTGTGAGCTCAGGGCTGGGGTAGCTATGGGTGGGACCAACCCTAGGGTGGTAGGGTTCAGGGGACGACACAGTTCCAAGGGGCCAAGGGTGGGGTATGCATTGCTTTCACCTGCCGGTTCCTCTGAAAGGTTACACACTGGATGGTCAGTCACATGTAATGGCTCCTGCCGGGATGGG